GATATAAAGAAATGGAATGCACCCGTATCAATCAACACATTGGCAACCGAGTTGCAAAACAAAAAGGTGCCTCTCACAACGGATGGAGCCGGTAAAAGATCATGTGCGGTAACAGCATACATGCACCCTAAAGGCCTCTGATCTACCTGCTCACCTCTCGGAGCATAAGACTGCTGCACAGACTAAGACGATGAAGCCACCTGATTGGCCCTCGAGGCCTGAACTGACTGTGCTGGCTGAAAACTCTGTGTCTACCTCGAACCAGACGCACCCGATGTGCCACTCAACTGCGGGAAAAATCTCTTTAGGTGTCCCGTCTTACCACACTAGTAACAAGAGAGCGGCTGGCCTCTGCCCTGACTCTGGCTCTGAGGTCGAGCCGAAGATGAAGCTGCTCTCTGTCCTCCTCCCCTCTGCAGGCAAGCTGGAGACTTGTGGCCCAACTGGCCACACTTGTAACAAGTAATGTCTCCCTGACTGCCTCTCCCAGAGCCTGCACTCGGCACTAGAAAGGTAGACCTCACAAAAGCACCTTGGGACTGCTGAGGGTTAGAACCCCTCTGCCTCCTACTATCTCCCTGGCCATCCTAACTCCTCTTGGAGCTCCTCATCCTCTCCTCCTCCTCTTGCATAATAATCTCAAGATGCGCCACAGCATCCACAAGGCGTCCATAGTCCCAAGTCATGGACCCCACAACTCTCGTCTTGAGCCTGTGCCTCAATTACTTCTCAAACTCAAGGCAACGGCGTTCCTTAGACGCCACTAGCTCAGGTGCAAACCTAGATAAACTAGTGAATGCGGCCTCAAACTCGACCACTGGTATACTCAACTGCTTGAGCTGACAGAATTGGTCCCTCAGCTTCTCCTTGACAGCTGGAGACAAAACCTTCTCCTGGAAAGCATCTACAAAGGCCTCCCATGTACCGCCAATACGGCCCCGAACAAACTTCCACCACTGACCTGCGTCTCCCTTCAACTGGAAAGATGCCAAGGTCACCTTCAAGGCCCCGTCTTCAATGCCAAGCATCTCAAACGTCTTCGTCATTTTCTCAAGCCACTCATCAGCCTTAAGTAGCTCTTTCGGATCACCCACAAACTCGTCCGGGTTAGACCAGAAGAACTCCCTCTTTAGAAAAGAAGGCCCTGCCTTAGTAACATGGGCCTGGACCTGATTCTCAGCTCTGAGAATGTCCATGGATTCCCTCAATGCTCCTGCTATCTTGCAGGCTAAGGCGCCCATGGCCTGTTGACCTACTGGCTTGACCGCATTGGCCTGACCAACACCCTCCTACTGTGCCAGAATCTCATCCGGTGTAGGCATCTCCTGCCTCCTAGGCCTACCTCGCCTACCACCACGTCCTCGTCCTGACATCCTAATAAAGGTAACAAAGACATTAGCACATTCACAAATGTGCCGATGCTATTTCACTCGCGTCCTAATACATTGGACAACAGTAATTCATTCAACGTAAGCACATAATCACATAAGCACTTACGAATTTGATTTCCGGATAATGACAGTCCCGTGGCGTTGCTAGGGTTCCAGTTAAAAACAGCATTGATCAAGTGCTTTTCCAACAGGACTCCCAGAAACACAAGGATCCAATCAACATCCTGGAAATTAAATCCCATACCCATATAGTCACATAAGTATGTTATCACATAAGCACATAACATTACATCTAAGTCTCTGACAAATGAGACGAACCCATTGTGGTACTAACCACTTCCCACGTACCCAAGGTATTCAAACCCGGTACGCTCTGATACCTAGTTGTAATGCCCTCAAAATAAACCCATAATTATACATTCATGATACACGAAAGAGATATCATATTCCCAACATCAGAGTATTCTTACCAGAGATATTACATGTTGACAACAAAAGTAAACGCCTTATAGGCTTATAACTTTCTAAGTCAACACTTGGGTTCAACAAAAGTAGAGTTCTAACTCTATACACAAAATAGGCTCTTGGCTTGATATACATGTAATACAAAAGATAATCACAAAAAGATAAGCCTTCAACTTCTACAGCCTCCCAAACTACATCCTTGGAGGCGGCATATCACCTGTACCTGAGAATGATGTCCCATATAGGGTGAGGCAACGCCCAGTACAGATATGCTAAACATAATATGAGCAATAAGTAAAACATTAGCATCCTATAAATGTTACCACTTATAAATCAACTTACAACATTACCCAGTTCTATGACAAATATGTCCATGTTTCATTCCACTTTCCTTTACTTAACCAATTTTCAATTTAAGAACATGGCTTAGAACCTGGCCAAACAATTTAATGAGACTACAACTCATATCAAAACACTTCATTTTCAAATGAGTTAACAACTCATATCAACAATACTTTAATTTCAAATGAGATAACAACTCATAATAAAACACTTTCATACTTCGCAAATGATACACATATTTGATGTATCAGTTGAGTCCATCTCCTATCTCCTCCCAAATAACATCCGGTTTAGGAGTCCATTCCCTATCTTCTCCCAAACCGTGGAGTACATCCCCTATCTCATCCTACATAATACAATGTATATAAACACTTATCATATACAAGATCATTCAATACACATATTCAATGTATTATTCCAACCGTCACATTCAATGACATATTCAACGTGATTAGTTTCAGTTCACCTAATTATCATGCAGTGTCTACAACAATCAAGACTATCCTCCACCAATAGCCCAGAGCAATTATTTCTAAACAGATAATAAATGCATCAACAGATAAATTAACAACATTTTCAAAAGTGAGTGATTAATCAATCCAACTCCACCATTCTTACTCATAACTTCTCAATTTCACTATTTCCAAGCCAATTTCATTATTTCACAATGAAAGTCATTAATTACACTAGTGACCCAATAAAACCCAAATATGGCATTTGTCCCCATTTTCCCAATATTGACCCAAAATAAACGTTCATAACCTCATTTTATGACCCATATACACATATATAGTTCAAAAGGAACAAAACCCCTCTTTTCAATATTTCTAACCTCAAACCCTAACTTCCTTAAATCAAACCATTTATACAAAATGCCCAACATCTATGTTAAAGATCATAAAAATGAATAGTTATCCCCACCTCAAATGGAGAGACCCAAAGGTGATAATGAAGAAATTCGAAATGCTCTAAAACCAAAGGTTTTCGGATTAAAATGTAGCCCAAGCCAAGCTCTACACTTTTTGCAAAGGAACTAAGGGAGAAGATCACGCAAGCTAGATGATTTCTTAGAGAGAAGTTGTATTCTAGAGAGAGGAGCTCTCAAATGAAGGTTTTGAAAAGGTAGAGAGTGAGAGAATGCCGAAAGAGTGATCCAAAAAGCTATTTTTCGGACTGATATACAAACAGGTCTGCTCGAGCGTGGAACGCCCTGCTCGAGCGTTAGACACAGACTCACGCTCGAGCGTCAAAAGCGCCGCTCGAGCGCCGGATGCACACTTTCAGAAGTTTTGCAGTCCATGGTCCCCGCTCGAGCGTGAAAGTGGACGCTCGAGCATCCGATGACCTGCAGAACAAAATACTAGGAGATGAATAATCACGCTCGAGCGTCAAAATGCCCGCTCGAGCGGAGAAGCAAAAACAAGGTCCCGCTCGAGCATCAAAAGCCCCGCTCAAGCGTGAAGACCAAAATCTGGGCATCAACTTTTGGTTTCTAAACACAACCAACCTGTTCCCAACACAACCCAAGACTCAAACACAAAGAGTAAATGATAGAAACGAGAATAAGACAATAACCAACATCCACAGAACCGAGTCCGCAATACAATTAAACAAAGAAGGGAAAACCGGGATCGCTATATCTATAATTAATTTTAATCTATCTATTACCTATCCTTATTTATATTATTATATAAATAAAAATGTTGTATAATAATTGAAGTTCAAAGTACTAATCTATTTTTTGTTTTTCAAAATTTAAAATTGTTAAAATGCATATGTTGCACTATCAATAATTTCTTCCTATTATAAATTTTATTTTATAAATCTTATAAGATTTGTTCAATGACTAATATTCAATTTTTGTAAAAAAATTTCAGTATATTCCTTCCAAAAGTTAATATAGCAAGTCTACAGAATCATATTTTAAAACTCAAAATTATTAATATTTTTATTTTTATTTATTTTTATTTTCAATAAGCATGTTAAAATATAAATAATATCCAAAGAAAATTATACGTATTAATAAATATGACATTAGTTTTAATTTTTTTTTTTTGATTAGCACATTAGTTTTTAATTGTAATCACTTCTTTTTAAAGTCTTTATTCATTTTTAACTTTTTTTTTTGATATTTTAAATTACATATTACCATAATTCTTTCTTATTCATTAAGTTTTTAAAATTTATTTACTTATTTTCTTTTCAAAAACTAACATAACAATTTTTTAAAATTCATATATTTTTATTCTAAAATTGTGAAGTATTAGAACTATGTCATTTTTTTTTTTTTATAACAAAGCATAATTTTAATTGTTAATTGTCAATACAACAATTTTAATCTATGTTTATGGGTAAAAATAATAGAAGAGGAACATTTAAAATAAAATTCTTAAACTTATATATACAATTTTATTTACGAGAAAAAAAATATAAAAAATTAAATATAATTATCATATTTTTAATAAATAATATATTATTTTATCCCGTGCATAGCACGAGTGATATGCTATCTATACTATATATTAAGCAAAAGAGGGTTTTTAACCTAAGGAAATACCCCCACAGTGTTCTAACATGAAAATGAAAGACAGTAACCATACTATTGAGTTTTTTTACCAGTCCATGTGATTTTGAAACAAAATTTTCATTTTCAAATATTTTTCAATTTATTTCTTAAATATACCTTTTCATAAAAAGTATTAAAAGAATATAATATGAAGTTATTTTTAAAAACAATAATATTAAAATAAATTGGATATCGAAGTTGGATGTTTATGTCATGATGGTGCAATTCTATTTACCCATAAGATAATAATTTTAAATAATTTCGGAATACTTAAGTTTGAATTTATAATATTTAAAAAAAAAAAAATCATGTCCAGAAAATGAACTTTCAATGCTAAAAAATATACTTACATTGAGTATCTGATCAGTTTCACGTGCGCTCAACTGTAGTCTCACCACCTTAGAACACCTAGCTCCCTTAACATCTTCAAACTTCAAATTTGTAGACCTGAGTGAATTGAGTGAGTAACTCAACATGTCCAACCCATGTGCCCAAATAGGCTTCTTAGCCTTCCCACTAGGAATAAGATCTTCAATTCCCAAACTAACCTCCCCTCCACTCACCATTTCCATCTGTGTCCCTCCTCCACCCTCTCCCTCCATCATCAACCCCTTCAGCTCTCTCAGCAACCCCACCGCGGTGGTTAAGTCACATACCACCGTGTGAAGCCTAAGCACGACAACCCATTTTGCATCTGGAAGCTCGTATAAGCTAGCAAAGAACAAGTCAATGCCGGTGCATGATAAGTTGCTAGGGTTATTGGACCAAACGTTGTTGTTGAGTTCGTGTTCGAGGATTATGTGGAGGGGCGAGAAAGAGGTAGTGGTGGAGAGGTTGCGGAGGAGATGGGTGGTGGATGAGAGATTGAATGATTTGATTTGGATGGGAGGGGTGGTGGTGGGGGTGGGGGTGGTGAATGAGAATGTGTTGGTGGTGGTGCTGTGGAAGAGCTTGGACAGGAGGATTGGGTGGGAATTCTGGAGTTTGTGGAGGGCATTTTGGAGAAGTGAGGTGTTTGGGGGTTTTGTGAATTGGAGTGCCAAAACTGTAATGCCAGTGCCACCTGACACAGCTCTGCACCAACTATGCTCGGTGCCGCCCACTGGCCGACCCTTGGGCTGAAACCATTGTGGGTTCTGGTTCTGATCAGCCATGAGAGAGAGAGAGAGAGAGAGAGAGAGAGAGAGGGAGGAACAAGGACTAGGGCATACAGTGAGAATGTATGTGTTGGGTTTCATTCATGTTGGTAATACTTATACTGCTTCGGATGGCGTTGGTTACAACCCATAAACAGTTTTTTTTAATGAGGTGTCGAACTTTAAAAAGAAAAATGCATGTACACATGCACTTGTATTGGGATGCTTTCCATTAGTGGAATGGAGATGCCCATTTCGTGGTGTCATCTGCTAATCAAAAATCATAAATGGGGGTTGGAATTTTTTTTTTTTTTAAATTATGTTAATTTTTTAATATTTTTTTAGGTTTGTTTTGATAATAATTAGTTTTTTAGTTTATTTAAGTTATTTATGCATAATTGTGGAAACATCATTTTCTCATTAATATTGATATTACATACAACCTATATTTATAGACAGATAGCTAATGTTGAGCTAAGCAGGTAACTAACGCCTAACAATGTAACTAGCTCCTAACAGCTCCTATACAGATAGCTAACCGATTCCTAACTAACTACATGATGCATATGCAGCTGAAGCTGAAGCTGCTGAAGTTGTGGCTAATGCTTCTGAACTAATATCCTTATCAGCATCGTGCAAGCTGATGGGAGAGGGAGAGGCCAGAAGCTTGGCTTTAAGATAATTAAACCAAGAAAGGCTTTGTAAAGATATCAATAATTTGATCAAAAGAAAAAACATATTTGGGAAGGAATTGTTTAGTAGCAATCTTTTCGCGAATGAAGTGACAGTCCACTTCAATATGTTTAAAACGGGTGTGAAACACAGGGTTGGATGCCAAGGCAATAGCAAAAAGATTATCACACCAAAGAATAGGAGGAATGGAAGAGTGAAGTTGAAGTTCACGGAGCAACATGGTTAACCAAGTAAGTTCAGCAGTTGTATGGGCGAGAGAGCGATATTCAACTTGACGAGCGTAAGACAGTTGGTTTCTTTTTAGCAAACCGAGAAATGAGATTAGTGTTATCTCCACAGTGGTGTGTGTGTAAATTAAATGTATAAATTAAATATATAATAAAATAAAATAATTCAGAAAATAATTATATAAATTATTTTTTCGAATTAAATGCTTATAAAAATTAATGTTAAGGCTTGTGTTGGATACAATCTCTTTAAAATAGATTTCGCCCTCGTTCCGGTGCTTCGAGTTTTAATCGGCGTCTACTTCCCAGGATGTAACGACTAACACTTAAATTTGCAGCACTACAAATTCAAGCTTGGCAAACCAAAACTCTATTGTAACTCTCTCTTTTTGTTCCTAAAACATAAATGCAGAAACAGATGCAAGAGCACAGGAAGAACAAAAGAAGGAGGACGAAATTCTAAGGAAAAATTGAATTAAATGAATTGCTGGAAGTAGCCTCTATATAGGCAGATTGGTGGCTGTTCGAACAGATCCCAACAGATAAGCAATTGTTCGGACATATTTCAACAGATAGAAAATCTGTTTGAATTGTTTGGACAGTCCCAGATCTGTCTGGGAAGGATTCAACAGGTTCAAACCTGTTCGGGTGGTTTAGGAACTATTTGGGTGAAGGAAAAAATTTTGGACCAATTTATTTTGAATTTTGAAACCAAAATTATAAATAAATAAATAAATTACAAATATTTGTAGCCCAAAAAGATAAGTATTGGGTCGGACAAGCCCAATCCAACCTCACACCACGCACCCGCGCCCAAGCCCAGCCTAGTCTAGCCCACCAGACTAACCGGACGGACGGCGACGAGCGCGTGTGGTTTTAGTTTTGGATCCAATAGGTCTAACCTACTTCACCCATAACCTCACCCTTTCACAAACTTGGGTAGCCTTTGGCGCCCATCCCAAGTATCCCAAGTTAAGGTATATAAACCCCTTAAAAACCTTAAGCCTTTCTAATATGGGACAAGCACATTTCATAAATATGTAGGAAACCTACCTAAATCTATTTCCACGAACTCGAAATGCACGTTAAATTCTTATTCATCCGGAAATAGTTTTAAGCAACCAAATACACGGTTTTATTCACTACGCGACATTAAACATGAACTCAATTAGAAACATCAGAAATAATGCTTGGTTCCCACCTTAAGTAATGCTCAAAGTTAGCAAAAAAATAAGATTTTTTCAATAGCTTTCAAAGCCATTTTCCAACAATTAGAACCAAGATATACATAGTAGCCTGAAGAACTCCAACGATCTAGAACATCACCAGCCCAGTTGGAGTCAGAGAATGACTGTAGTTAAAAAGAACTAGGACTGAAAGTGAGACCGTGAGATAAAGTCCCTTTAACAAAACGTAACGGTCTTTTGACGGCAGCAAAATGTGCAATAGTAGAAGTATGTATGTGTTGACAAGCTTGGTTAACAGAGAAATATGAGTCAAGCCTGGTGATAGTAAGGTACTGTAGACGTCCCCGAACGCCCCGGGAGGGTTGGTCCCGTTCTGTTCATTTGGGGTTACTACAGCTCAAACTCTCAAATTGTCACGGTTCTCGTTCTTAATCTGAACCAAAGAGTCCAAAATCTGGCAAATCGTTTTGAGAAACAGTTTTTAGAAAGAAGCTGCCAAACATGGACTGCTTTGCCAGATACAGAGTCGCCACCTAAATATTTTATTTTGGGAAAATTTAGGAAACCCTGACTCGTTGCCTAAGGCCACATGTCCGTCATCACCAAAGTTGCCTCGGCTCGGGAACTTGGGTACGATTGGGGAAGGTCACTTCGTGAGCACCCCCGCTCGCCCGATCAAAGATCGGCCTCTACTAACCATGATATCTAGTTTTGAAAAACTGGTTGTGTTCTTTTTTATTCCGGTTATTAGCCTAGATTTACTATGTTGATGCGCACAGCATACACAGTAAAGACCGGGTCGCCTGAATTGGACAAAACATTTTTTGTTTTTTAAGATGGTTTGCTACTCGCAAGTAGGCTTAAAATGCAGATTTTGCACCATCGGGTGGGCTTAGAAAACATGATTTTGCCACTATCTAGTGGGCTTAAAACACACATTTGATGAATTGTTCCAATCCAGATAACCCAACCTCACCACAGGTATTCAAGCAGTATTATCACATACGCATAGCCTCATGGTAAGCATGCTATCATGGCAGTCACTCACAACATGCAGGATGCCAAAGCATAAAACTCACCGAGTACTCCAAGCCAAAAACAAAAGCTAATTAAAAAATCCATGATGCATCCTAAATATTGTTGAAATGCCTAATGCAAACATGCAAGAATGCAACTATAGCACGCTCGGTCTATTCTAACATGGCATATGAAATGCTTACAGCTAACATGTATTCAACTTGAAATTGAAAATAAATGCAGTTAGTATGATGCGCCGAGCCCGGTGCATGCAAATACAGATGAATGAATGCAAACATGCTATCATATTGTATGCTAATTAAAACCTGCCCTAATCTAACCATCATAGCGGGTAAATAAAAGGGAGAAAGACGTGGGGTTGTGAAAACATACATCACACACACACACCTTATTACAGTTATGCCCTCGCGCGAGGGGTCCGAATGAATAGTACAGTCCAAATAATACAGATTTCTAATTAATTTACAAATTAACTAAGAAATAAAACTGGCATGCAAACCAGGAACTGCCTTGACTCTTCTTCAGATGATGGATGAATGCATATCTAGGCTGCCTTGCGCGGGAAATCCACGGCGATGCCCCGATTAGCCTCTCGTTTGCAATTTATTCTTGGAAAGCGCGCCAAAGCCCCAGAAGACTGCTGTTCTTGATTACTGCAACAGAGAGCAGGAAAAAGGGTATGGCAATGTATTTTCACAAATGTTACATTTCTCGATCCTCGTGCACCAATCACGCAATCTCGATGCATGATGGCTGAGGAGTCGAATTGCACGACTCAATATGAAATGAAATGCACATGTAAACACAACTAAAACCTAACTCCATCATGGATGATCCGGGAGTGTCGGGACTGGGAATTGAGATACGATTCCGTCACTCGAAGTACGAAACGTCCCTCGTTTCCCGTGCTCAGGCTAACTCCTAACCCAAGCACAATTGCAATATGCCATGACATGCGATAGAAATGCAACTAATATACACCCTAGCATGCACAATGCTATGAAATGGCATACACGATGCACGAAATAACATGGCATACACAATGCGCTAACATACGGCCTAGCATACACAATGCTATGAAAATGAAAGGGCATACACAATGCACAATGGACTTACACCAACATAGAGTGGACCTCAGCCACACTCACATAGAGGCCATGGGATGAAAATGAGACAACTCGGAATGCGCGCACAACATGCACGCAAACGAGGACCGACCCTAAGGCACAAATGCCACTCTAACAAGACATGGCAAGGCATGAAATGATGATAGCAAAACATGAAAATTTCAGCGCTAAAATATGACCCGAAACAACCCGAATCATGACAAAATATGCACCCGATGCATGAAATGGTCCCGAAATGCAAGATTAAGCACATGAAATGACTATGTAGCTACATCAAGCATGCATTATTTGATCATGACATGCAAGACATATTCAAGGAAGTTCCAAAACAAGCATGTTTACAGTTTTTCAGCAGGGCCAAACAAAGAACACAAATGCAGGCTAACTAGCAAAAATGCACAAAATGGCCCTGCTGAAAACTGTTAACATGCTTTTTTTGGAACTTCTTGAATATGTCTTCACATGTCATGATCAAATAATGCATGCTTGATGTAGCTACAAGTCATTTCATGTGCATTAATTTTGCATTTCGGGACCATTTCAATGCATCGGGTGTATATCTGTCAGATTCGGCGTGTTGTTTCGTCATAATTTTAGCCGCTGAAATTCATCGTTTGCATATCTATTTCATGCCTTGCCTGTCTTGTTTAGAGTGGCATTTGGGTTGCCTTAGGGTCGGTCCTCGGTTTGCGTGCATGGTGCGCTGCATTCGAGTTGTTCTCATTTTCATCCCATGGCCTCTTATGTGAGTGTGGCTGAGGTCCACTCGATGTTGGTGTTAAGATCCATTGTGCATTGATGTATGCCCTTTCATTTCATAGATT